TTATTGTCACATTTAAATGTAACTTTATACAATTATTGTCTTATATTTCTAATTATACAGTATTATGTAAGATTTGAGGTTTTTACAGCGGCGAGTATGAAGATTTTCGTCTTCTGGGTTGTTGCGCTGTGTAGTATGGTAGATGTTTACCAACGTTTCAGAGGTCATACTGCCTCCGTCATCAGGGTGATGAGTATGAAGATTTCTGTATTCTGGGTTTTACCGTCGAATATATTTCTATGAAGATTTCTGTCTTCTGGGTTGTTGCGCTGTGTAGTCTGGTAGATGTTAACCAACGTTTCAGAGGTCATACTCCCTGATGATGGAGGCAGTATGACCTCCCAAACGTTGGTAAACATCTACCAGACTACACAGCGCAACAACCCAGAAGACAGAAATCTTTATACAGTATTAGTTTGATTTATTGTTCTCTTCATTAGCGACAAACAGAATCCACATTAATGTTGTTATAATGCCCGAAGAAATTCAAAATCGTTTTGCACATCTACTGCGTATATTTGTGTTCTTGTAATGCCGATACTAAATTCGATGTTATCATTCGTGAGCCTGGCGTGTCAACGATGCAGTCCACGTCAACAAGCCGTAAGGCACGTCATTGTCAGTTAGTGGCGTAGCTTGTTACGTCTTTATCAGATAATTACTAGATTCCATGTTGAACAAGCCACCGGGATTCATACGCCGTCAGTGCCAGAGCACTGATGGGAAACTGAACATGCTGGGCTAACTAACACCTCACTCACCAGATGGCAGATGAAATGTGTGCGGCCTAAGCGACGCGGCCTATTATTCATAACTCTGAAATCCTGATAAGTCTATTTCGCATATGTGTATTGTGATTTAAATAGGGTCTAATATTTTTCCTAGATGCATTAATTGTGTGAGGCATTTCAAAATTAATTGAAAGCAGATATTTTTTTTATCTCTTGAGTTCTAATTTCATTATATTTTGAAAATGGTTATAATTATATTGAGTCATATTCCTTCATACGAAGTACTCTAGTTTTGCAACAGTCTCTATTACCTGAAAAATGTTAATTAAAAGCAAACTCTATTCTTTACCTCTTTCACTAATAGTCTATAACCTATCACTACAGTTTCTATGATAAGGGCTTCTGTCTATTGTGGTAACAGGGAACAGATATTGTATGCCCACATATGAAATAAGAGATATAATTAAGCTAAATCCAAATATCCATTACAATGGTGTGTTACAACAAAAATGGCATTATTGACATTACCCATCCTTTTGGTCTACAGTGGTAGAGTAGTTCGTTCTAACGGGCCTAACTGAGTAGGAACCTTTTCTCCCTTTCATACCTGATGACAGAAAAAGCTCCATTTTTTTAACCTTAGTTCTTGAGAAAAACGAAGGCGATGTATAATTCCCATAATAAAAGTCATGTTAAAGAGCTATATTATCCAGCTATGACTTGTAGAATCACAGAAGATAATCACGACAGGGAAATAACATTCTGTTCTAGTATTTTATACCGATCACAATAACTGTACAAGACGAGTACCACAACCCAAATCAACACCATATTGCAGTTTGTCATGAATTTCTGCTATTAGAACAGCAGTTACATCTTCTAGGCCTATTGCTTGCGTGGTCACTGTCATAAGCTGCACCAAATGTCATTATTCCAAAAGAAAAGTATTTTTAGATATCGAATGAAGTGCATTTATTTATTGACCTAAATAAACTAAAATTAAACATATTTTCAATAATACTGCAACTTAAAGTGTTTCAGTATAAAATATAATTGTAGCCTGCTGTCGTGTAACTAACATAAGAAGAATTTATTTAACGTGCAGAAGTATCATCACGCTAACATTAGTACTGCTGTAGCAGTCCGGTACTGACTCATAACAGAGCCTCCATCATGCAGACATTAGTGTTGGCTACAAGAACATAATATTACAAGTTTTTAATTCCCCTATAACCGCTTGATGCACCGAGGACAAAATATGTCACTTCCTGCTTCGCTGTTTATAAGTTGAGTGTCATATATTTAACATATTTTCACCATGAATTACAACTTATCATAGTACTTCTAGGCTTTATTTAAATAACTACATTACGCGGAGAAAGTTATCAGATGTTACATTTAAAATCTTACAGTAAGATTATTAAAAGTCTGTACTTGTAACTTTATGTTTTCCAGTTTACATTTTACGCATTAATTACATACCGTATCTTACTCTTTATTTGTTTATTATGACTTCATAATATAATAAAAAAATTATGTAGCGTTTCGTGCATGCTTCGACTTTACTTCAGAGAACCACACATTGTATTATAATATTAATGTGTGTTTCTCTGAAGTCGAAACATGCTCGAAACGCTACATTAATTGTGCATTTATATATATTACACCAATAAATAAGTTGTGTCTGATGTGAATATGTTAAATATTACAAAGAGTATAATGGAAAGGATATACTAATTTTTAAGTGATATTATTATAGTTTGGCCAATGTAAAGCGTCTGAAACTAGACAACAAAATGGAAGGAAGCTGACGTCTGAATGTGATTCACTTAAACCATTCCACGAATTGATTAGTAACCTCAACTAACAATCAATCTTGTGCAGTATTCGTTATGTAATATTTTTTCTCGGACTGCTTTGTGTGCTGTTGATATGTACGTATTATGATAATGTAAATGATTTAATTTGTGATCTCTTTAGTGATTTAAGCAGTTTCTAGACTTATTGTGAGTTTGTTTTGTTTTAAATATAATGTTGTATCTTGCAATGAAAGAAATTTTGTTTATAATGCACGCATTCTCACGATTAACTAACAAGCAATTCAGTTTCATGATTGCGCCCTCCGATGCTACAGCACTCTGCAAGGACATAACATCGAGGCAAATCGAACTATTAAGCCAAGGTGATCAAAGACTCCCATGTTTATGTTCTGTGTTGAAATACGCTTTTCGGGTATTGCTTCACGTGAACTATTGATCTACTCAACACAAATTAACACACAATAAATCCAAATTACCCCTTTGTTTCACATGCCTCATCAAATAAAAAGCTAGTTGAAAGTCTTACAGTTTCTTTTCCCTCTATTTCTCATCTCCCTCACGTACGTACTACATGTTCCGCCCAACTCATTAACCTTGATTTCACGAGCATAACAATATTTGGTGAATACTAAAAATTAGTTCTACTTATGAAACTGAGCGAAATTTCAGGTTGTCACAGCGGCGAGTATGAAGATAACGGCCGCTG